ACCCCATGTTTCCTGGTCTTGAGTTCAGTCTCCAAACTCAATCTCTCCTGCCCTTGCCCTTCAAGTTTTCTGCCAGATGTATCTCCCCCAAGCTGGTCTTGCAAGCAGCTGGCTTGGACAGGGAGGGGTAGAGCCAGGTGAGTTTCCCTGGGGTAGATCAGTTGTCCCCTATGTAAAACTCTCTTCATATTTGATGTTCTCCTGGTCACTTAAGCACACTCTATGTTATACAGTATGTGTTTACTGGGCCTGTATTTCGGGCCAAATTCAGGTTTGCCAGAAATCAGCTCGTTCAGCTGCCATCCTCTGTGCTACAGCTGCAAAATGGTGTCTTCCTTTGTCCTCTGCAGAACACCTGGAGAGGTGGTGGCTTCTTTGCCTCACAAGGATACTGTGCAGTATGCTTTCAGGTTTTTCAAGCAATGTCCTGGATCTCTAAAGGCTCCATACCCAGACATACCTCAAGCCTCCAAAAATATGCAGCTTCCTTTAATTCCCTTATTCTTCTACTTTGCCTGTGGAGGGACAGCTCTAGCTGTTGCTTCTGGCCTGGCCAAAGCAGAGGCTTCGTCTACTATTAACCTTTCCTCTCATAACAAATGTATATTTTAGGAAGTTAGTAGTAACCAACTGAGAAAATACAGACTTCCAGAAAATGTATGCCTTATCTTTGTATCTAATAAGGGACACTTGAACCAAATAATAATAATAACAACAACTTGCTATTTTTCAATCTATAAAAACAATGATTCAATCAAGACCATATTTATCCTGAGAATAAAAAGAAGCCCTGTAAAAAAATGAAACAAAGTAAAAGTATCTCTGTTCAAATAATTAGGACATTTTTCTTTAAACTTATAATTCTGAAAATGATCTCAATGTTAATCATCACTTAATATTTTTTAACACTTAGATTCTGCAAAAATGTAATTAATTTTATATTCTTACATTGTGATGCTGGGGATTGAACCCAGAGTTTGTTTGCATGCTAGGCAAGCACTCTGTCATGGATCTACACACTCAGCCCTATAATTAAAATTTTAAAATAAAAATTTCCTTGCTACCTTAAGATAAACTAATTGCAGGGTATGGACATAGTGGTACATACCTTTATTCCCAGCAACTTGGGAGGCTGAGGCAGGAGGATCCTGAGTTCAAGGCCAGTCTCAGCAATGTAGTGAAACCCTATCTCAAAATGTTAAAAAGGAGAAAAGTATTGTGGATGTAGCTCAGTGATAAAGCACCCCTGGGTTCAATTCCCCAGTACTAAAAAAAAAAAAAAAAAAAAAAAAAAAAATTAACTAATTAAATATTTAAATATATTCTCTGATACCCACATACACAAAGGTAATTTCAGTTTATTTGCTAAATGCCTCACCACTGAAAGTCTTGGTCAATACACATAGTATTCAGCTTTATCTCTTAAAAGCAACATTTCCAAAAGAAATAATTTATTAAAAAAAAAAAAAAACTAAAAATGAAGACAGCACTATTTCTGGATGGGGGTGGTGTGCAGAGTATCTACTGATCCATTGGAAGATATAGGAGTTGATATACATACCAGAAATATGTATAAATCATTATAGTGCTCATTTCTCTCTTCAATGGACAAAAGAAAGAAATACCATTCTCTAGCTATTGTACAAATTCCTACCTGTTTTGGCTAGGAATTTGGCCAAAAAGTTATTGGCTACTGATTATATGCCCCTTTGTGCTAAGATTTGTGAAACATAACGAAGTATTCCAAGGGAACATGTTCAGTGTCATAAGGTTTTTCTAATAGCAATTTCTGAAGCATATCAAAACTGTACATAGTTATGTACATATGACTTAAAAAAAAAAGATTTCACACCATATAATAAGTCATGCTAAATTCAGGTTAGAAAACTTAATGAAGAAACTTGATATAGCAAAATTCTACTATGTCTTCTATATAGTCAGCTTCAAAGATATGAGGTTATTGAAACTTGAACAATCAATGTGATATTCTTTGTTTAATGACTCATATATTCTGAGCACATTTTTGTAAAGCAAAAACTACTATATTAATACATTTTTAAAAAAACAAACGTCTTTCTGGATTTATGATTTTCGGGGCCCATCCAGAGCAAATTGCAATGCTTGTTTCAATAAAGAGTACATGAAATATATGGTTTTTAAATTAAGCTTGTGCAGACCTGCATGTTAAGATAAGCCTATCCTTCCAAGATTAAACTGTACTTCTGGTAGAATTTTTGCCCAATCTGAATAATGAGTTACACTTGGAATTATAGCAACTTTTCATAGTGCTTCTGATTTTAACAAACACCAGTAGATATCTTTAGAAAATATTTTGAAACAGTTTAGGGACTTTTCATTATTGGTTGGCAAAACAGGAAAGAAGACTATTTGTGTCACATATGGTTTCCTCCCTAACATAATGATAAAATATAAACTTTACAAGGTTGTTTTTTGTTATGTGGGAAACCAGTGTTTCAGCAAGATAAAAACACGGAATTAATTGTTTACATTAAAGTCTCTAGGACGGGTGCTATTTTATATGCAAATTTACTAGACCAATTTGTTTTACATGTATATTAAGTCAAATGAATCAAATTGTCTGAGTGGGTGGAACTAAGATGATAGACCATTTCATTCTGTTTGAAAAGAATTTGCAATTCAGCATTTTACACAAATCTAATTGAAATGTAATCATGCCTCTGTAAAGCAGTGATAAACTTAATATATGGGAACAGTTATTATGTGCCAATAAAATAGCAAAACCCAGCAAATTATAGACCAGTTATCGGGAGACTGTTTAAAATAACATAACTAGCTCTAAAGCTGGGTCAAAAAATATTTATTCCAGCCATCAGAAGGGCAATCTGGGAGAATAAGCTACATTTTTCTGACTACAGATTTAAGTTTCTTTATCAAATGGCAATAATAGATTCTATCAAGTGTTGGACTTTGTGTATTCCAGACGGGAGTTCAGCAGCTTCATTGTTACCTGAGCCAGTGTCGGCATCAATTCTCAGGTTCACCCTCCAGACTAAACAGAGTCTAGCCTGTGACAGAAAGGCCTGTGGTCATTCATGCAGTGAGTGTTATGGTTGTGGTCAGAGAGGGAAGTAGCCTTGTCGGATGATGAAGCCACAGTAACTTAGAACTGTGTGACTAGTTATTTTTCAGGTGTTTTCTTTCCTCCTCCTTCTCTTGGTCAGTGAGTGCCAGGCCCTTCTTAGAGGACATGCCTGAAGAACTGGCATGATTTCTGGCAGACGCATAGTGGGACACTTTCACTGCTGGAAATGGCCATAACATACATGAACAATGTCCAACACCATCGGCAATAGGGAAATACAAATCAATACTAGATTTCACCTCACCCCAGTCAGAACGGCAGGCATCAAGAATACAGATAATAATAAATGCTGGAGAGGATGTGGAGAAAAAGGCACACTTTTACACTATTGGTAGGACTGTAAATTATGTGTACAACTCTATGGAAATCAGTATGGAAGCTCTTTTAAAGACTAGGAATGGAACCACCCTATGACTCAGTGATACCACTTCTCAGTATTTACCCTGAAGAATTAAGGACACCTTACTATGGTGGTACCTGCCTATCCATGTTTACAGCAGCACAATTCACAATAGCCAAACTGTGGAACCAGCCTCCATGTCCTTCAATGGATGAAGGGATAAAGAAGATGTGGTATACATACACAATGGGGTTTTATTCGGCCATAAAGAAAAATAAAATTAAGGCATTTGCTCCTCCATCTATTTTCCTAAATGATGGAACTAGAGACCCTCATGTTAAGTGAAATAGGTCGAACTCAGAAGGTTAAAGGTCCTATGTTTTCTTGCATATGTAGAAGCTAGACAGGAAAAAGGAAAACAAAGATGGGAGTGGATCTTCTAAAAATCAAAGAGAAATCAGTAGAAGAAAGGGAACCAGGGACGGGAGGCAGAGAGGGAGAGGGGAAGTGCAGAGGAGTGATATTGGTCAAATTATACTATTGAATTGTGTGCATGCACAAATATGTAACAAATCTCATCAATGTGCACAACTATAATGCACCCATTAAAATAATGAGGATTTTTTTTAAATGAGTGTAACAAAACAGAAGGTTCTAATCTTCTAGCCAGCATTTTTTTTTTTTTTTGTCATTACATAGCAGGGTCTTTTTGTTTTGTTTTGTTTTGTTTTGTTTTGTTTTCTAAGTGCCTTGTCATACTCTTTGATTTTATTTTTGCAATAATCCTTTATTTTTATTGAATCTATCTTAGTAGCTCTACAAAACACTCTTGACTCACTAACGAGAAATCCAAATGATGGTGCATACTCAGGAGCTTTCCTCAGAATGTACTATCATTTAGAAACGTGTGCCTGTTCAGCGAGCTTTGAAGTGTTTTCAAGTTTAACAGCCCCTAGTAATCGTTTTACAAGGGGTACAAATATAACGACCAACTTATGGGAAACTTGTTTTCTTTCAATCTGCTCATCTGTCTGCTGATCATCCTACTGAGATAGGAATTTAGGATAAGAAGGCTTAAAGAAAACATCCATGCGCCATTGAGATGCAGAAAGCAGACTTGTAAATCTTGAGCAACGTGCCTTTGGCCCATGCCCTTGTAAAATGATGGAAATACACAAGTGTGGGAAAAACTGAGGTGTGTTTGTGCAGCCCCACCCTAGCTTCACCTCCAGCTGGGACCCTACTATAGCCCTCCTATAAAGGCGGAGCTTCTTACTCTGAGATAGCTGATATCCCCCTTAAATGTGTATCTACTCCCTAAATAATTCTCTGTGCCTTTTTCTGGCTCATGCTGAAATACTTTTCCATCATCTGTCAAGAACCCCACTGCTCCTGAGTTGAATGTCCCCTCCCCTCTGGGAACTCCTCAGACTCTTCTCTAGAGACATCTGTGACACCACCTGTCCTCCAAACCAATTGCCTTCCTGGGTTAAGGGCAGAGTGTTGAAGCTGAAATCTAGTCATCCTCACACACTGTAGAAGGGTGCACCGTTTATTTTACTTATTTTTACATAAGCAGGAATTTAGAATCCTCATGATCATCAGCATTTGGGAATATGTCCAACTCAAAATGTTGGAAGAACATTTAAGAAGAATCTCCAGTCTATACTCTTCATCCTTTCTAAAATTTTATTAGGAATCTTGATGCTCTTGAAATGAAAGGAACAAAGCATATATATTAAGAAACGAGTTTCAGCAATATATACTAAATGCAACTAAGAATCAGCCAGGTTATCATTCACAGTTCTCTGAGTAACATTCTCTAATTTTAAACATATATTTGTTCTTTTGATTTTCTTCCCAGTTTTTCTTTTCAAACACATTAGTAAACTTTCGACTAGGAAAGGGGCACCCACAAAAGAATCCTTTAAACTTCTTATGTGCAAATGAAAAAAAAGGACATTTTGGGTTCACTTATGCATCTATGAAAGATAACAATGACCTCCATCCAAGTTGTATTCTACTTGTGTTTTGATAAATCTATGAAGTTTAATCCATGAAACTCTTTTCAGAGGAGAGGGGTATGTGGGTGATGCCAGTGGAAATTAAAAGTCTAAATTGTCAGATCAGTTCAAGGAAAGAATGACAGGTCTTGTAATAACCTCACACCCTGATCCCACAACTTCAGCATTCCAGGTGTGTAAACTATTGCTCATATTTGGAAGAGGAGAGGAGACAGTAGAACTCCAATTTTTTGGATTTCAGCAATTTAAAATATTAAACCATGCTTAAATAATCATGTAAAAAACAGTCATATTTTCAGATGGCATAATATATTGAAAACATAAAACAGCTTTATGATTTCTTTTCACAGAAATGCTTCAGGTAGTAACCCAGTCTCAGCTTTCTGATCTGTCCTCAGAAAAAATATGCTTCTTTCAGCATTTTCCCTTGTGGGTCCTCCTTGTGCTCCATAGAGAACAGCACTGTGGATGATCTGATAAACTTTGTTAATGGGAAAATACAAGTAAAGCAACCAATTGAGAAAATCATCATTGCTTTTAATACTTTGCAAATGATAGCACTTGCTGTTATAGTCGTGTCAATAAAAGCAATTTTTTTTCTTATGATTCATTCAGGCCAAGGATAAACCAAGGTACCAATCAAAGCAGATGATGTGGGAATGAAAAGTAGGGGTTGGTTATAAATTAGAGATGTTTCAGAAATATTTTTAAAACTTGAAAAAAATGGGAGAATCACTTGAAGAAGCCAGAGCTTTGGTAAAATCTCCCTTGTGTACAAATTGAGAATCCAGTAGAAAGACAGAACGTGGGAATCATAGGGAGAGACCTGATTATTAAGATGAGAATAAGGTTGTGAATGAGGCAGAAAGGTATGGGGAGATGGCCAGCACCTGGTTGAGGGGTTCTTTCTTCTTCCTGCTCAGGAGGGTGTAAGCCACCGAAGAAATTAAAGTCTAGAATAATTAGTAAAGAACAGAAGACTAAGTCAGAAAGATAGTTTCAAAAGTTAGAGCCCCTGATAGATCCAGTCCACACAGGAGCTGGAGCAAGACAATTAGAAAATGGCTCCTGTGATTGATTTAAGGGGGTACATCAAAGGCAGGGATAAGGTTTCAGGGGTGGAGTCTTGCTTCCTGATGTCTTGCAGTCAGCAGGTTGATTGGCATCTACAGCAGGTCACCCCATCTCTGGTGCTCTGTGGGACTGTTGGCAGAGCTGAATAGGACTCACAATGTGTCTGGGCAGTCTTCCACAGAGGAAATATCCACTGGAAGTTCCCAGACACAGATTCTCCTATTCATTAGGCTGTGATGTGAGATTTAGTCCATACACAGTCCACAGATGGCTCTCGACAGGAAGGGAAGAACCTAAAGTTTTAACTGCAGGATTCTTCTTCTCTAGGTTGTTGGTTTAATTCTTGCTTCCCATGATGGAAGAAGTTAAAATGGTTACTTACAAATGTTACAGTCTCTAAAGCAGCATCTAGAGGTTTTATCCTATAGCCCAAAGGTAATATTGAAGTGCCTATGTCCTAGAGAGAGACATAAATTCTAGCATAAGAAATATTTGGCTCATGGTTTTGGAGATTTTAGTCCATTGTCACTGGCTCCATTGATTCTGGGCCAGTATATGGCAGCAGTACATCATGGGGGAAGAACATGGTGGAGCAAAGCTGATCTCCTCAAGGCAGCTAGGAAACAGAGATAGGAAGGGACCAGAGACAAGATATAATCACCATAGGCATGCCTCCAAGGACTCACTTCCTTCAACTAGGTGCCTCCCCCTACAGTTTTCATCACCTCCCAATAGTCCATTCAAATTATGGATCTATCAATGAATTAATCCACTAATGAGGCCAGAGCCTCATAATCCAATAATTTATTTTAAGGTCCATCTCTCAGTGTTGCCGCATTGGGCAATACATGAGCCCTTTGGGGCATATTCCAGATACAAATTTTAGCAGTCATGAAATGTGTTTAAACGTATGTTCTTTAAAAATTGCCACATGACGTAAAATTCAAAATTTGCTCCCTTTTTGCATAAAATGTGAAAATTATGCTATGTAACTGTGTGAAATATTAACTCCTCCTTTAGCTATTCATCTGCTTTCTTGGGGAAGACTTTTCTTTTAAATGTTAATTTCCAGAAACCTTTTGGAGGATGCTTTTTTTTTAACCACATGGTCCTGTGAGATTTATACAGTGTCCATAAAATTATGAAGTGTGTATAGGTTTTGTAAAGCATCACATATAATTAGGATTAAGTATTCACATAATTATGAGTCTGTTATCTTATATATATAGCCAAGAAAATTCCCAGTGGATAATACTTCAGGAAATATTTGCATCCTTAATATTTGTAGCATTAAATCTGTATTACTGAGTTAAAATTAAAATTGTTTTAGTGAGCAACTTTGAATGTGAAAGGGTAAAGGGTAAGTACATTAAAACATTAACTAAAAGATAACTAATTAAGAGATATAAGTATGCAACACAAATTATTGATTTCTTTTTCATATTTTAACTAGTTGTTCTGACATTAGTAAGCATACAAATAGTGTACACTTCTCCACTGTTTAAAAGTAACATTATTCAAAGAATTTTTAATGGAATTTAATATTTTCTGGACTTAAAATATAAAGAAGAGATGGAAATGAGCAAAACATTTGTTCTTTTCTAATGACATAGTTCTGTATTTTCTTGGTGACTCATTTGACTTCATGTTTTCCTCATTTTTAAAAAAATTGTTGTAGAACTTAATAAACAGAACCTCAGACTGTATTTATATAGTGCTAAAAGAAACTATTGGGAATGAATTTTCTACCACTTAGCTGTGGACAAAACAAAATTCACAGGTGCACTGATCTGAAACAAATGAAAATTTAAATCTATAATATATGTTTATTACATAGAGGTCAATTCAACAAATATTTTGTGAACATCTTTTCTGACAAAGTGTAGTATTAAGTCCTTTTCAAGATGCAAATAAAATGAAATTCTTGCCCTCCAAGAGCTTATATTTTATATGCATTGGGAAAGGAGATGTCCATGATTCTATCAAAGTTATTCTGCCTCAGACAATTTTATATGAGACTGCTTAAGAATTTAAGTAAAGCCCATGAATGTAATGTCTTTTGTTTATAGGAACATTGAAAACTAAAGATATTTGAGGAAGGGGAGGAACTACATTTGTATTTAAAAACAATTGAAATTATTGAGAGTTAAGACAAAATCATATTTGCTCAATTAAAATTGTTTTTTAAATAATTTTAAAATTTATTTTAAAACAAAGTAAATTATATACATATGTACGTATCAATCTGCAAATTTTCTGTTGCACTTTTTTATTTTAATGGTTTAATTTAAGAAATGCAATTAAACATATTCTACCTCCACTGTATTTCAAAGTTCTCAAAAGAAGAACTTACAGTAGGAAAACACTGAAATTTGCTAAATATTAGAAATATTTCTAATACAGTCTATTCTCTATTATCTGAAGAAACAGTTTTACATTCTCAGTGCCCTTCTGCTGACCTTACCAGCAACTATTTTCAGATATTTCTGTGAATACAAAGGATTATAAGGCAGCAGGATAAACCTTGAGAACATAGACAACAAAACAAAACAAAACAAAAAAACCTGAGATAGGCATTCCTCGGGTCACAGTAGTGAAGGCAAGCTTTAAGCATCCCTTGTTAAGTTAGATAGGTGAAATTCCTCATCACCATCTTTAACACTTGGAAGATGCTGCTGCTTATTTAATTCCCAAACTCAAAACATCACATACAAATGAAAGATATAAGTACCTCATGTAGCACATCCAGTATACAGTACATAATAAATTTTTAATGAGTATTTTGGCAATCCATTGGTAGATATATAAAGGAGAGGAAAGGTTAAAAAAATGATATTAAATAAAGCATAAAAAGTCAGGCATGAGAGAGGTCCAGAGATAAAAACCTAGGACCACTAAAATTCTATGTGAATACACCTGGATTTCAGTCCCACTTCTGTGCCAGACTGGTCAGGGCACTGTCTACAGATGAGTAGGCATTAGCTCTGTGCCTTTACACACCTGCTCCCCTTCCTTCTGGAAATAGCTATCCCTTTCTTATTTACATAACCTTCAGTGTTTATCTCAATCATTATCTTAACTTCCTGAATGACTCCAGTCCTTGTCTGGCTTCCACTGTATCAGAGCATTTTCACATTGCCTTATAATGATCTGCTTCTCTGTTCTCCTGGTCATTTAGAATTTTTTTTTCTCATTTGTCCCTGCTTATATTTCAGTGATATATTTGTTGAGTATTTTCTGTTTATTCTACAATAGTCACTAGGAATAGAAGAGCAGACAATTATAGCCCAACACAATAATACCCTGCAATGTGAGTCCCACATCAATTTTTTAAAATCTTATTGTAATGTTCTTGATAATTACATATAGGTTTGCAAGTACTGTTGTATGTCTAACTATAAAGGAAGTTCATCTTTAAATTAGGAATATTTGGCAATTTGCTAGAAAGCATTAATTACAAATGGAATATTTGGAGAACTTCCTGTTTTTGTTGCTATGCGGAAGAAAATAAAGAGTTACCTGTTTATTTTCACAATTTGTGAGGACCTTCAGTTCAGAAGTGAGACTCTAAACCAACTCTACATCTCCAAATGTTGACACAGGAGCTCAAGTCAAGTTTACTGAAAGAATTAACTGAACAGCAATGTGTTATTAATAAAATTAATAATCCAAGGAAATTTCATGTATTATTTGTAATATATAACTACTTCATGCAACTCAAAGGTTTTTCTTTAAATGATAAGTTCTAATTTCAGAACAAATAAATGAATATAATCTTATAATTTAAAAAAAAATATTTTTCTCAAGAAATATACCTAATTTAATGGTTTGCCTCTGTGGTTCAAAATGACAACCTTTGTACTTAAGAGATACCTGGAAAAACATTTTTGCAATCCCAACTAAATCTAATACCAAAAACACATCATACTTCTATGAATGGTTACGTCTTCTCATGTAAATTAGAATTCTTTTAGCCACTCCAAGCAATTTCTATTATCATACATCTCTACTTCACAAAATCTGTTTTCCCATGTTTCCTACCTTCAAATTAAGCAATGTAGAATAGTGGTTAATTGAAGAGGTTTTAGAATCCTATAACCTGAGTTTAGACTCCATCTCCTTACTGTCCAGGTATGCACCTAGCTTTTTTTCTGAGCCTTAACTTTCTTGCTTGCTCTATGGTAAAAAATTCAACAATGAATGAAGCATTTTTTCTGAATGTCTAAATACAAAGTAAGGACTTAATAAATGTTATACATTGTCACTAAGTGACTGCTCAACTGAGAATATTCCCAGTGAGTGGTTTTGATTTTAGAAAAACATATACGGTGTTTTCACTCTGTATCACTTTTTAAATCTCCCTGCTTTTTGAATTGTATTAAAAATTAATTTTCATTAATAATTTCAGTCCCAAAGTCTAAATCTTCCATGTCCCTCACTTAGGAAAATATTCAAGTGTAACATGTAATTCACTGCTTGAGGATGTGTATACACACCTTTATACCCATGTGTAGAAAACCTAACTTTTCATTAAAACATTTGTACATTTTTGGCCTGATTTTAGTTATACTTAAATCTTATATAATGCAAGGATGTTAACTATGAAAAGAGTAGTGATACTGAGCAATGAGGTAGATTAGCAGGAATAGGTTTGGTGTGCATAAGACTATGAAAACTAATTCCTTAACTCATGTAAAATGAAAGCAAATGGTAGACATAAACTCAGTTAAGTTTTGGAGGACAAAATTAGTCTAATGTATCCTTCTGTAAGACCAACTTCCAGCCAACACAGAATTATGCACAATTAGAATCAGTTCTCATTTACTGTCTCTCACAACATGTGATCCTCTGACTTCTGGAAATGTCTTCTTCCCCTTTCTTTCCTATAATTTGTTTCTAATTTAGTTAAATTCACATTCCTCTCTTCTTCTTCCTTCAACATTCATTCTCTGATTCAGTTTTAGATTCTTTCTTCCTTCACTTTTTATTTCTAGTCCCTTTTCCTGTCTCCCCCCCTACTTTTTTTTTTAAATTATGATTTCTGTTGCAGTCGAACCTTCTGTTTCTTTCAGAAATGTGAAAGCCACCACATCACTTCTGTTTGTTTCTCACCAATCAAAATGAGGCATTTGGGGACACATGGATTCTAGGATATAAAACATCTCTAGCTGAAGGGCAAGGGGCCAGCAAAAACTTGAGAGGATTTGTTTCTAAGAGAAGGAAAAACGTGTGCAATCCATGAGATGACACTCTAACACAGAGGGGAGGTTGTGAGGAGCTGTGAGCCTTTCCCCAGCTGCAGATTAGCCCAGATCAGAGGCCTTATTGTTTGAAGTCCTGTGTCCTCCTAAGGACTCACCTTGGTTCTTAGTACTCCACTTCTGCTATGGCCCAAGTCCCCGAAGTCTCCCTTTTCTTCCAGGGTAGTTATAGTGCAGCCTCATTTACTAGGTCCCTGCCACCTGCCATTAGTCTTTTCCCTTATTCTCTAACCTACAGGAAGCTTGTCTCTTACCAGTTGTTATATATACCAGTTCTGTGCTCCATTTGCCTGTTAACATATCCATAACATCAAATGCAGTGTGTTCCTTCTTTTCTTCTTAAGTACTTTTCAATTATTGATGTATTTATTTGTTTGTTTATTTTCCTACAATAAAATTAACTCTTTTCTATGGCTAGGTCTGTGAGCTACAGCACAGCTCCCCAGTCATCTTTACTGTTGCTGTTCATGCTCTCCTTGACATTCACCCCTGGCAAAACTGATCTCTTCTCTTTGCCTTTCCTGGAATTCCCTATAAATGGAATCATATTGTGTGTAATCTTTTGGGTAGAGCTCCAACTCTCTGGCTTGCAATATCATATCTATTCATTTCATTAAGATAATATTACTAACAGACAACTGTATGTTCCTAGTGATATAATTCAATGATGAATTTGAGATTGAAATTCCCCAATTTTATGGATCGAAAATCTAGTAGCAGTTACAGGCATAATTAAGTAGATAGATAGATACATGAAATTTAAAATAAAATCACTCTAGAATCTATACCCTCCAACCCAGTCCTCATAGCAACATGTGGCTGCTGGTACATGAAATGTGACTAGTACAAACTGAATGAACTCTACGTGTAAAATGTCCATTTCTGAAGGCTTAGTGGGAAAAAAAGAACGTAAAATTATTTATGATTTTTGATTACATGTTGAAATGATAATAGTTTGGACATTATCATGTCCAAACCTATAGATGTCACCCTGTCTCAGAGAGATAAAACTAGGCAATGAAAGTATGAACTCTAGTCTTTGTAGATTTTTTTTTTGGCTTCATGTTTAGCCAAATTGATGTATGGGGGATATATTCCATTTTGATTCTAACTTAATATATTTATGTTGGAATAGTAGGAAGATCTATGTTTCATATTTTAGATTGGAAATATTTTTCATAGTTGGATATCTTTTTTAATTTTAATTTTTTTCTCAAAATGAGGACATCTTAGGTATACTTATCACAACTTATTTTGTTTATAGAACTCTTTTTTATTCCACAAAATAATACATGATGAAAAATCCTTATCTAACTCTGAAAGAGCTAAGTTCAAAATTTTTAAAATGTAAGCAATTGGGCTGGGGATGTGGCTCAAGCGGTAGCGTGCTCGCCTGGCATGTGTGCGGCCCGGGTTCGATCCTCAGCACCACATACCAACAAAGATGTTGTGTCTGCTGAAAACTAAAAAATAAATATTAAAAATTATCTCTCTCTCTCTCTTTCTCTTTAAAAAATGTAAGCAATAAGCAAACTTATTTAGTAGATTAGTGGGTAGAGAAAATTAAAGTATATCTTTTAATAAAATAGTACTCTTGATACTGAGGTGTCAAATGAGTATGGAAATTTTCAGTGATCAAAATTGGGTGCTTAAGTCCCCTCCCTCTACCCTTTTTGTCAGCAGGACAGTCAGGCAGGAGAAGATAAGAAACCAATGGAAGATTTCCCACTGTCACCCATTAACCCCACATCTTCAGCGCAAGTATAAATATATAATTAAATGATTTTCAACAGGGGTGATTGTCAGGTCCAAAAACCTGACAGGATGGCAGGAGGGGGATGGCAGGAGAGGGAATATGAAGTCACAATATGAAAAAAAGCATGGATGGATAAAGGGGAACAAATACTTCACAGTCCCCAGGAGAGTAACGTATAATGAACAATCATCCCAACCAAAATGCAAATAAATTCTGGTTGAGAAATATGGATCAAGTAGGATACAGTGGTACACACCTATACGGTGGTACCACAGTCTTGCAAAAAGACTTTATTTGAATGTAAAGTTGAGCAGGGCCCACACCCATAACGGTAGTCGACTGAGTAATTTTAAAAAGTGATTCCAAAACCAGTGGTGTCAACAAACACGTATATGATCTCAGCATTTTAGTGAATCAGGTTATCAATGTACAGCTTAGCTGGGTCTTTTACTTGGTCTCCCAAGACTGTAATCAAGATGTTGTTCAGACTGTGGTCTTATCTGGAAGCTCAGATGGAAATGAGATCTAATTCCAAGTTCGTTCACATTCTTGGCATGATTCATCTTCTGGCAGCTACATGTCTGAGAGTCCTAGCTTCCAAGTGTCTGTTGGCTGGGAACTCTCACAGTTCTCTGCCAATTGGAAAAAGTAACCATACTGCTAGATTCATGAGGAATTCACAGTACATTTGTACTTTACCAGTGATGCTCCTCTGAAGGATCCACTGCTGTTAAACATATTACCATGTTCTTTAATCAACTTTCTTAGTACAAACCAGGATGTTTGTTCCCACTTTAAATCTTACTGATTTATGAAAATTTGCCCAAACTTGGATAACAATTTTCTGTTTGGGGAGTATAAATTAATGTTCTGAAGATAAAAATGATCAATTTATCTATTTCTGGAGGAAATTAATATTCAACTGTAGGTTTTATTTTAAGTGTCAGGGAAATAACTGTTTTGACTGGTTTATTGAAACTAGCAAGAACTACACCTATATAAGTACATAAAGGAAACATGGATCTCTAGAAAAACTTGCTCTAGTTCTGCCTTAGATATGTTGCTTCTGTAACTGAGGGGGAGAAAGAATCTTAACTCTCATAAAATTAGCAGCCTCAGTTACTGGATTATTAAATAAGAGGCAAAAGAATTAATGGAAAATTAACTACTTATTAGTGATATAAAATTTGATATTTCTTAGATAACTATATTTTAAAAGTTAATGCAATATTTTTATTAGTGACTATAATTAGCAGATTTGAACCTGTTAAATAATTTGGTTATAAAACTGCATCTGCTGGTTCACATTTTACCAGCATATAGAAATAAAATGAATAGTCCAGTTAATTCAAGTTTTATATTTCTTTTCATTTAAAAAAATCAAATAAATGAATTAGTTTCTTATTTACTTAAGACCTTTTATGTTATTTTTTTAGTTTTGACAATTGTACATCTTTTTGGCATACAGTGTAATAAATTGATATATGCATTTACAATGTATAATGATCCAATCATGATAATTAACATTTCCATCTCCTTAAACATTTATTTTTAGTGTTGGAAACCTTTAAATTCCTCTCTCCTAGTTTTTTTGTAAAATATATAATAAATTGTTATAAATTTGTTCTATAGTATTGTTCAAATTTATAGTGTCATTTGCTTATTGACTCATATTTGTCTGTTACTAGAAGTGGTATATAGAAGTCTCCTATTATCGTTGTATTGCTATTTCTCCCTTATAGATCTATCAATATTTGTTTTGTGTGTGTATGCTCTCATGTTGGGTGAATTAATAAGTCTCATACATCTTCCTGATGGATTGATCTTTTTATCATTATATAGGGAACATTTTTTGCCTCCTGTCCCACTTTTTACTTAACATCTGATGTAAGCAATGGTCCCTATGAAAGGGAAAATTTTGGACACAGAATATAGCAAGTGAAGATGAGAATTATGTTGTCACAAACTAGGAAAATACCAGAAACTTAGAGAGAAGTCTGAAATCAATCTTCCCTTAGTACCTTCAGAGGAAGTATAGCCTCAAGAATACCATGATATTGGACTTCCAGCTTCCAGAACTGTTGGGCAATAAATTTCTGCTATTCATGCCACTCATTTTGTATTTTCGATGGAAGTCCTAGCAAACTAATGCAGAGATTAAAACCATTAGGTCAGATTGGGTCACTGATGGATGGAAAATGGAAAAACAATGGTAGATATCAAACTTGCAGATATTACCAACCTTAATACATAACCTTATTTCTAGGTTTACCCCAGCCAACTTAAGTGCAGTAGTCCCAGACTGACATTTTTTCACTATCAGCTTGTCAATTTTACCCACAAAATTCATCTTCACATTTCTGTTATTCATTCCTATTTTTTAAAAAATTTTGCTTTTGCTTTTCCTTATTGACAACAACCTTTGTAATAGACAAAGCACATTTATGTGCAGGTATACACAGTCTCAAAGCCATCCACTTACCTCTGAAAGATGCAGATGAGTACAGACGTCTGGAATCCTTAGAATATGTCATAAATGGGTTTGAACACTTTTTCTGGAACTTGAAATACTCCAAATGTTCTGTAATATGGTTCAATATTGAAGAAATACTCTGGGACAGTTTGAGCAAAAGCACAGAAAGTAAAACAATTGTGCTGTTTATGAGGAACCTGTAGAATGGGGATAAGGAATTCAGATGATTCATATTGAACAGGAATTGAACCACATTAAATAAGAGTAAGGAAATTAAATTTCTTTATATTGAAGAATAAGTAGAAAGTGTGGTTGAAATGATGGAGTCACAGTGGGGAAGACTCTTAGCCAGTTGCCATGTTCTGTAGCCTGAGAGATTCTTGTTGCTACGCAGCTAAATCTAGAACTCAATCAAATGAAAAACAATTGATTTCTATTCTTTTTATCTTGTGAGATCTCAAAGAAAAACCTTTGCTCAAAGAAATGGGTGGTACACACAATTCATGAAGAGGGTCATAATTAGAAAGGATCACAAGAGTTATAGCTTCATCTATAGGTAAGTCACTCAAGAATTTAGCTCTGAAGTAGAGAATCACAAATTATTAGTACATAAATATGCTCACACACACAACACACATACACAAAATTGGTTCAGATCTTGAATATCTGGCAAAAAAAATGCTCTTCATTATTTCCTATTCTACTCTATTTTGCGCTTTTAAATTGCTTTCAATTGTATAATACTTATACTCTGAAAAATACTGAATTAGGCTACAAAAGGGTAGGTGGTAATTAGGCCACAAAGATTCATGAATTTGACAAAACTGTAGAAAAAGGAAAATAATTTATAAAAGATAGTGTATGGAAGTTTACTTTGAAATCTGTATTATTAGAAGACTATGACTTTTTATGAATGAAACTGTTATATTCTTTTAGGACCTGTGGCCTCTAGCATCATTGTATAAAATAATGTAATGTGTCAAAAGACTGTCTGGCTCAAATATTCTTTTCTCTCTCCCTTTCTTCCTATTACCTGTTCACAAGGTGAAGTCTTAGAAATACATTCTGACAGATTTACATTGGTTCACTCTCAACAATGCACACAAGTAATAAATGACTATTTTCCATTACCACACAAATCTATACCCCTTAATAATTACTGTTTATAAAGACAGACATGAAGAGCAAAGAAACAGATGAGAATTTTACTCATGATTTGTAAAAGTTGTCCTCAAATGTTTCCTTTACTGACCTTACTTACTCCTGAGGGCTTTTGGTGTTCTGTGAAGTTAGCCTCCTCTGCTCTTCTCACTTTAAAGATGAGGATAGTTTCCAGCTTCAAACAGGTCCCCTGCCTTCCATTTGCAATGACGAAGGAGAGAGAAGAAAACTACCTGATCCTGTATTAAATAGGCATTAAATGAAGAATTCTTGGTTTTACAACTTAAACTACCCTGATGGAAATTTATCAATAATACCAACTTATAACAATAAAGAGAATACCAATTTTCAACTGAAGGTACTAGGTGTACATGAAAAAAATTAGAACTTCGAACAGTTAAGAAACAACGGGATCCCAGCAGCTCTGGAGGCTGAAGCAGGAGGATTGTGAGTTCAAAGCCAACCTCAGCAAAAGTGAGGCACTAAGCAATTCAATGAGAGCCTGTCTGTAAAGATAATACAAAATAGGGCTGGGGATGTGGCTGAGTGGTCAAGTGCCCCTAAGTTCAATCCCTGGTATCCCCCCACCCAAACAACGGAGACAACAAGGTGAAAATTATTAGAAGCATAGGAGTGCTTAAGATCAATATCTGTTCGTGACTTCATCCTTTAGGCTGAGCTATCAGGCTATCTTATTCTAGTTTTGTGTGTCTTCCCCTCCTACGCATCCTCCTAAATGCACTCTGCTTGATTTATTTCCCCAGTAGTATTGGCACACCCAGCAGTGTGTTGTCAGAGTGTAGAAAGCAGATGGAAGTATTAATCTAGATGGGGTCGAGCATTTTAGTCAACAGACATTGAACTGATGGAGTCCAGAGGCAGGCTACAGGAATAACAAGGGCAATAATGGAAACTTGAAAAGTGGGAAAGTGTGGAAAGAAAAGTTACGTGAATTGTCTACAAATTTAATGAGTAAGTTTTAATTAAAAATGAAAGTTATGAGTTACTACCAAATAAGAGGATGGTCAAGAGTAATAATATGATTCAGAAACAGGCTATAAGTCGATGGTTGAAGTTCATTGAAGATGAATCCTAACAGTAAAAAACAAACACACGGGTTGTCAATATGCTTGATCAACAGTGAGAATGTGGATAAGATGGTGGAGAAGAGAGCAGTAAAACAAACACCTAATTCTTTGCTATTTGTTCAGGATTGATCGGGAAGTTGCTGAAAGAATGAGGAAGAATGGTAAATAATGGTGGAAGGAGATGGCTGCTAGTTTTGCGGTTTGGAAGTGGCTTTGGCAACTAAAGCAAGTTATGACTGAATATCTGGTCTGTATAGCAGAGGGGGATTCTGAGAAAGGAAGACGTCTCCCCTGGTGGGCTTCACATTTTTGAGATATAAAATTTTGTAACATTAACTAGGAAAAAGGGGCTCTCTATCAAGAAGTGTTAACAGAGAAGAGACTGCTGCTGCTTTTTGTTAGAGGAAGGTTTCATGAGTGATGGGAGAAAATTTTAGAGAGAAAAGGTCAAAGAACTTAAAATCAAGATAAAATAAAAATTAAGGAGGAATGTGTCCTGGGTTCAGAATGGGACAGGTGCTGAATCTGGCCACTTTCATGCTTGAATTCCCTACTGTGGGAAGTGATGTTTACTCAGTGTGTTTTAGATACCTCAATGCAGATTCCACTTTCTTCTATTCCTTCCCCAACTGTTTTATTTAGTACTTCTTAATCTCATTATGTTAACGAACTCATGAAAACTATAGATATTTACACTGGGTTATTAAAAAGGCATTTTACGTGTAAAATATTTTTCCATCTCCAAGTGTGACTCTCCCAGCTAATCTGATTTTCTTTTCATTTTGTTGTGCCTGAGGTTTTGAAAAAATACTATTTTTCTCCATAGTATAATTAAATATAAACATTTTCAAGTAATATATCTATATATCAACCCAAGGCATTCCTACCTCCAATTCCACTATTGGATATTGGTTTATTGAATGAAGATATCTATTATGATAGGATCTTTTGAAGGATAATTGATACTTTGACACTTTGCATTTGACAGGATTGAAATGAGATAGGACAAGTAATAATTTGCAACATGGAAGTGCATATGAAGGACCATCAGAAAAATAATATATGTGAGTATCTTTTTACATGTCTTTCCTTACTGTGACAAAATAATTTCTCATTTGAAATACAAAGAATGTGGATATTTATTCCAAGTTCATAGTATAAGTCAATATTCCCTCATTAAAAAAAAATAAATTCATCTTTCCATTAAGACACCTTTGTTGGGTCTGGGGATATAGCTTAGTTGGTAGAGTGCTTGCCTCACATGTACAAGGCCCTGGGTTCAATCCCCACTGCCACCACACACACACAAAAAAAGACATTTTTGTTTCAAATATTTATTGTGAAAATGTTCCCAAATATACATATATTTAGAGAATGGTATCATGAACACACATGTCCTTCATCTGTATTTGATAATTATCAACCTGTGGCCAACTGTTTTTCCTTTGTACCCCACAGTGTGAATCTGCCTCACCAAAATTAAAGAGCAAATCCAACGCACTGTATGAAGTCATGCCTTAAACCAAATGCTAATGCATTTTAGCCCATACTCTGCTCTTTTCCTCTACCATGGCCTGTTCATAATTTAGTTGCACAATTCTGCCCTTCTTCCTATTTTTTATTTTAGTTCTGCTACCCTGCCAGAAGACATCCCATCAAAGGTCAGTGCTGCTTGCAACCAAGTCAAAGGGAGGAGACAGGCCAACAGCACCTCCTGCCCTGCCCCTTCGCCTCCAGTCATTGCCCATGATGGCTGTGGGTGAGGCCTTCCTGGTGCATGTGAGGATGGCTGTCATGAAATTCTGGCTGGGAATCTTGCTCTTCCTTTCTGGATGGGCCCAGATTGGCCACTCCCAACACCTCAGCCCCCCAGAAGTAGTGATACCCTTGAAGATAACTGGCACCCACAGAGGGATGAGGACCCCTGACTGGCTCTCCTACAGCCTGCGCTTTGGAGGCCAGAGACAAATTGTCCACATAAAGGCCAAGAAACTTCTAGTGTCCAAACCTTTCTCTGTGTTCACCTACACAGACCAGGGAGCTCTGCTGGAGGAACAGCCTTTTGTCCAGAGTGACTGCTACTACTATGGTTATGTGGAAGGGGACCCAGAATCCCTGGTTGCTCTTAGCACCTGTTCTGGGGGATTTCGAGGAATGCTAGTGGTCCATGATACTGTTTATGAAATCAAACCCAAAAGATTTTCTGCCACATTTGAACATCTGGTTTATAGAATAGACTGGGAGGAGACACGATTCCCACCCACAAGATGTGGACTAACAGAAGCAGAAATAGCACGACAACTGAAGCTTCTTCACAAGAATGATATTATAAATTTAAAGCAAAGTGGCTATGAGAGGTGGTGGACTCACAAGGGTCTCATTGAATTGGCAGCTGTGGTAGACTATGAACGATACCGTCATCTGGAAAGCAATATCTCAAATGTGGAGGATGAAGTAATCTTGGTTGTAAATGCTGCAAATGAATATTATAAAGCACTGCAAATTGATTTGATTTTATATGGCCTTGAGGTCTGGAACAAAGAAAACCCCATAACTATCAGTACAATGGCCGATACTCTGTCAGAATTTTGCACTTGGAAGAAAATTAGTTTTGAAACCCGTATTCACCATGATACTGTACATCTTTTTATTAAGAAGTCATTTGGTAAACTCCTTGGCCTAGCCTTTGTTGGAACAATATGCAATAATGTCTATAATTGTGCAATTGATTCTTTTGAAGGTGACTCGGTTTCTTTTTTTGCATACATTGTGGCACACGAGTTGGGTCATAATTTGGGTATGAAGCATGATGAAAACACATGCACATGTGGGCAGAAGACATGCGTCATGTATCCATCAAAAACTATTTCAAGTAAATTTAGCAACTGTAGCTATGCCAGCTACTGGGACATTGGTTCAAGAAAGAGCTGTATACATGATACACCAGACCCAAAGGCCATCTTCTCAAAGATACAGTGTGGGAATGGTGTTATTGAAGAAGGAGAGGAGTGTGACTGTGGATCCATGAAATTGTGTTCAGAAGATCCTTGTTGTTCGATGAACTGCACCCTGGAAGCTGGGGCTGTTTGTACTTTTGGACCTTGCTGCAAAGACTGCCAGTTCTTGCCATCAGGCACAGAGTGTCGGAAAAAGGAAAATGAATGTGATCTTCCAGAGTGGTGCAATGGAACTTCACATGAGTGTCCAGGAGATGTATATGTGCAGGATGGGTTCTCTTGCATGGACGGTGGCAACTGCTATGAAAAGAGATGTAATATACGGGATGAACAGTGTAAGCAAATTTTTGGCATGGAAGCCAGGAGCGCCAATGAGAGGTGCTACAAGAATTTGAACACCCGAGGTGACCGTTTTGGTAACTGTGGTCTTGGTAAACAAGCATATATTAAGTGTGATATATCAGATGCCCTCTGTGGAAGAGTTCTGTGTGAGAATGTGTTATTCATTCCCTATTTGAGAAATCATTCTACTGTGCACTCGACTAATTTAAGTGGTGTCACCTGCTGGGGTACTGACTATCATTTTGGGATGAACATACCAGATATTGGAGAAGTGACTGATGGCACAGAGTGTGGTGCAGAACGTGTGTGCATTGACCGGAAGTGTGTATTTAGGTCCGTCTGGGAAAGTGACTGTACACCAGTGACCTGCAATAATAACGGGGTCTGCAACAACAAAGATCACTGCCATTGTAACTCTGAGTGGGCTCCACCCCGCTGCTTGAAAAAAGGCTACGGAGGGAGTGTTGATAGTGGCCCGCCTCCTCAGAAAACGGTATCAAAGATGGAAATTTCCAAGAAAGCACTATTACTAAGTTTATGGATTCCTACTCTCCTTTTATTTAGCTGTTGGATTTTGGCAGTTTGGAAGATGCAGAAATATTAGTAAACAAAAGAGCAAGGTGTTCAAACTTCATCTGAGGAAAACAAAAAAAGAGCAAATATGTTCCATTTCAGAAAATAAACCTAAGCCTTAATGACCTTTTTGGTGTATTAAATTTTAGTAGTTATGTGGGTCAGAGACCACTGCCTGAAAAATCCCAGATTTCTATTATGTTTCCAAATTATAAACATTAGCTATTATTAAATGTAAGTTATTCATAGCATAGTTCTACTTTTCATTTTAAGGAACTTTAATGGAATTCATTCTTTGTGTTTCCCAAGCAAAAGCCCACTATGTGGATGGAATCATGAGAGTGAGTGAATGAGTGAGTGTGTGTGTGTGTGTGTGTGTGTGTGTGTGTGTGTGTGTACTTGGAGTCTCTCTAAACCACCTTCCCCTTTTCACTCTGCTCTATCACATAGAGAGAGGAAACACACCCATCTAACCTCTTTGCCTAGTCCTCCCTAGTACTTTCTGCCCTTGGGGGAGCCAGAGGGAGACCTGTGCGAACTGTTAAGGTTTGCATCCGTATCACCTTGGTTACAGCTTTCACCTACACAGCAGCAGTAGCTTTCAGCCTGTGCATGATTCCTAGGTATATTTAATAATTTCCAGGATCAAAATTATCATCAGTCCCAGAGATACAGCAAAGCTACCAAATAACTTACCCTCAGAATCCTGAGTCCTGGTTCTCTGAGCCCTCCACCAGATTCCAGAGGTTCAGCACCAAGCTGGGTGTACCTGTCTTCAGAGGTTGGGGTCCTAGAACCATAGAATCTATTCCAAAGCTCTGAGTTTGTATATCCCTGACCTCTTCCCATTGATCTCCAGTCCTAATGGTGACAGCTATGCCTTCTACTTATGAACTAGTGGTTGTCTCAGGGGCGTGGTTTCTCATTTTGTGACTGAATTCTAAGTTCTATAGAACTTACGTTCATACAATGGAAAACATGGAAATGACTCAGACATCAGAAAGTTTTAAATTTTCTTACTACTATCCATTATCATCTTGGGAAATTTCTTGTAAGGTAGGTCTGATTGCAATGAATTCTCTCAGGTTTTCTTTGTCTGGTAAAGTCTTTATCTCTCTCATATTTCTTAAAGATATTTTTGCTATATACAGTATTTGTGGTTGCTAGTTTTTTTCCCCCTTAGCACATTAAATATATCATTTTAAATTTTTCCTGCTGTAAGACTTCTGTTAAGAGGTCTACCTCCGTACATTGGAATACTTACACTAATTACTTCTTTTATTGCTTTTAGCGCTCTCTTTTTCTTTGACCTTTGAGAATTTTATTGTAATAGTCAGGAGACTAGCTTATTTGGGCAGAATTTGTTGGTGACCTTTGACCTTCCTATACCTTGATATTTGAATTTTCCTCCAAGTTTTGAAAGTTTTCTGCTATTATTTCTTCAAATAAGCATTCTACACTTTCATAGTCTGTCTTCAAGCTCACTGATTACTTCTGCTTGATCAACTCTAATGTTAATGCCTTCTAGAACACTTTTCATTTTGTTTATCATATTTTTCTCCTCCATATTTTTCTCTGTTGGAATCTGTTTCTTATTTTAATCTTAGCTAAATTTTTCTCTTAATTCTCTGAATTATTTCTCCTTATTTTCTTGAAGTTCACTGAGTTTTCTTAAAATAGCTACTTTTGAATTCCTTGTCTGACAATCATCTTCTTGTCTTTTGAACGAGTCATCAGCACCTTGATTTATCTACTTGATAAAGCCATCTTTCCTGGGCTTTTATTTCTTGTTGATTTCTATTTCTATGTAGGTATGTATCACAAATTTGGTTTTTCTTCATCTGCATATTCTGGGTAGAGTGAATGTTCTGTACCAGGAAACTTGTTAGAAATACTGAGAGGACTGATTTTTATTTTCTGATTCCTCTTTAGAGGAGAGTCAAAGTCCAAGTTAAATGTGAATTTCATAATGGTTCAACTGCTGTTTCAGTGTCCCACCTGGATGAGCCCATAGGAGATTCAGAGAGAAGACCCATGCTGTGTGGAAAAGGCATCCAGGCTCTCCATTCCAGAGGATCTGTGGACCATGCTTTCTACAACTACACGTGCCCAAAGGGTTTCTCTGGGGCAGTGCCTCCTCTGGTGAGGATGGAGTGCTGCTGCCAAATTCTGGGCACTGGGTACTGCTGCTTGCCCCACTCGCTGCCTTGTCACTAGCAGGCCTCAAACGGTTCAATCTCACTGGTGTTCACAACACTCCCTACCTGCTGATAAAAGTGTCAGTCTCCTGGAAAGAACCTAAAATAGAGGGGAGGCCAAATGCCCTCTTCTGACTCACTCTTATGAGTACAGTGGGACTATTCACACTTGGTATCACAGAAGGCTGGGGAGAAGGAGCATTTGGACATAAAGAAACATTCTCAATACCATCCAATCACAGTTCCACTCATCTTTTGAGTCCAAAGGGGCTTTATATAGCCACACTTTCTGGTTTCCTTAGTTCATGCGAAGGATTTATTATATGTGGACAGTTTCTTAAATAGATGTTTCTGTGGGAAATTAATATTTTAGGGTGTACTCCACAATCTTGTTCCACCTTCTTTCAGTAATGTTGCTGACTTTGAAGGCTTTATGGGATGCTTGTGAGACCGTCTGGAATTTCTTAGAGTCATAATTTTCTAAAACCATGTTATATTTCCATATGCAAGACAGCAAAATTAGGCTTCTGTCAAGCACATGTCCTCTTTCTCTGTTAAGATGATTTTCTGATTTTGAATTTGCATGTAGTATAAAGTTGGAGATTTGGGCTATGAACTTTTGTGTAATAGAGATTAAACCCCATAATCTTTCAGCGCTGAGGATATAGAATCAAATAGAGACCTGGTGGATAACATATCAGGCCCAGAACTGAGCAATATGGTTTCAGAGGCTTAGTTCATAGTCAACCAATTCCATTGCTCTGAGTCCAATTCGAGGCAGAACATCATGACAGAAGGACATATAGGGACACTATGCAGCTTAAGGTGGCCCCAGAAACAAAAAGGGAGGGGAAGTGGCTTCAGGGAAGATGAACTTTTCCAGGGTGCACCCCAGTGAACCACCTCCTCCAGCCACATCTCACCTGTCACAGTCACCACCAAATACAACAGTCCCTTTTAATAATCTATCCACTGGGTTAATCCACTGATTAGTTGCAGCTCTTATAATCATTTCAACTCTGAACATTCCTGCATTAATAGAAACTTTTTTAGAATACCTCATACCTAGACCATAACAACTTCTGAATTTATTAATTTAGATCGCTTTTTTTCTTAGTTTAAATATTCATCAATTTTTTAGACTTTTTCAAAAAACTTTTTTCAAAAAATCATTGATTTCTGCTATGGTTTGCTATGGTTTATGATTTTCTTCTCTAATTTTTACCCTTTTCCTCTCTATACTAACTTTAAGATTAGTTTGTTCTTCTTTCTCTAGTTCTTTGAAATGTAAATGTAAAGTTAGGAGTTTTCTTCAGATCACTCTTCCTTTTTAATATATGTGTTTATTACTATAAATTTACCCTTTAGTATTTTTTTGTATTTTTGTTGTATTTCATAAGTTTTGGAATGTTTTGTGTTCAGTTTTATTTATTTATTTATTTATTTATTTATATTTTCTAATTCCTCTTTTGAATAACTCTTCATCCAGTGATTGTTTAAGACAATATTGTTAAATTTTCAATTACTTGTGAATTTCCTTGTTTTCTTAATTTAATTAAAGCCCTGTCTCATTTATTTCGGTTAGGGGAAAAAATGGTATGATTGTAAACTTCTCAACCATGTTAAGATTTGTTTTGTAATATAATAGGTGATCTAACCTAGAAAATGTTATAGGGGAGCTTAAGAAAAATGTGTATTCTTTATTGTTTGTTAAGATAATTTGATCTATAGTGTTTGTTAGTTTATTTCTTTATTGATTATCTGTATAGATAATCAAATGTTGTGGTACAATCATTCTTAATTGTTTTGTGTTTTAACTATATATTTAACTATATATCAATTGTTAAAAGCAGAACACCAAATTTTTCTAGTATTTCTGTATTGCCATCAGTTTCTCCATTTAGGTTTATTTGTATTTATTTTATATTTTAGGTGGTCTTAATTAGGTGCATAAATATTGATAATTTTATATCTTCCTATTGATGTGGATTTTATTATATAACTGCCTTTTTTTCTGTGATGATTCTGAAGTAAAGTCCATTCTGTCTGATATAAACAGACAGCTGTGTTTTCTTTTTGGTTTCCATTTCATGAGAGATCTTTTCTAATTTCTTCATTTTCAGCCTATATATCCATATCTAAAGATTTTCTGGCAGTTCATATATTTCTCAATATTGTATTTTATTCATTTAGAGATGCCATGCTTTTTACCTAAGGAGTCTGATTCATTTAAACTTAAAGAAGTCATTGGTATTTAAAAGGCTTACCAGTGCCATTTGGTAATTGTGTTGTTTTGCAGTTATTTTGTTCCTCTCTGTCTTTTGTCTATCTATTACAGAATTTTTTGGAGTTACCACAAGCCTTGCACAATTATCTTTTGTTTGTAACCATTTATATATTTTTATAACAACTTGATTTTTTATCACATTCAAAACTGTAATTTTATTATATTACACACATTTTTGTTTTCATGTAGCCATTGTTCTCTTATTTTTATTTTACATACCCATTAACAAATTTTGTGGCACAATTATTCTTAATTGTTTTGTGTTTTAACTTTATATGACACCCAAAATTAGTTTGTGCAGCACTATTACAGTGTTACATTACTGTGTATTTGTGTATGTATATTTACCTCTACCAGTGAGATTTATGCTTTCATATGGATATTTATTTGTGTGTAGAATAGGTTTTGTTTAAATTTGAAGAACTCTTTTAAGCTTTTCTTGTAAAACAAGTTTAATGGTGATGAACTCCATCAATTCTTGTTTGTCTGGAAAAGACTATATCTCTCTATCATTGTTAAAACATAGGATTGCCTGATACAGTTTTCTTGGCGGGCAGATTCTTTTTTTCACTTGGTACTTTGAATATATCATCCCACTTTCTCCTGTACTACATATTTATTCTGAAAAATCCACAGATAATCTCGGTATGTGATGAGTTGATTTTCTCTATTTTCAAATTTCTCCGACTTTGACTTTTGTTACTTTAATTACAAATTGTCTTGGTATAAAATCTTTTTAGGTATATAGATTTTTTAAAGTGACACATAAAAATTAGACATATTTATGGGGTACCATATGAGGCATCCTTCAAACAAAGCATACCATCTCTATTTCCTCAAACATATATAATTTCTTTTTGGTGAAAACATTCAAAATAGTTACGATAGGTAGAAAAAGCCAGACAAGGAAAGAAAAATATTGCATTATATTACTTACATGAAGAATCTAAAAATGTCAAACTAAGAGCAATAGAGATAGAATGGTGGTTGCTTGTGATCCAGGAGTCAGAGCAATTGGGAGTGTTGGTCAAAGGGTAAAAACTTACATTTGTAAGATGAATAATTTCTGGAGCTGTAGTGTACAGAATATAAAATATAGTTAATGTATATGTGAAATTTCGGTAACTATTCAAATGAAGAAAATAATTTATGGGAATTATTATACAAAATATTCTTACATTAAAACAACATGTTCTACTTTAATATTTTTATATAATTTTAGTTGTCAAACATACCTCAATAAGACTACAAAGTATAATGTTAACATAACTCTATGTCCTTCACATACTAATATTGAGCTTAGTGAAGCTTATTTTATCAATTGGTAGAAAATTTCTGCTTTAAGCTTCATTTTTAAAAAAATCTCAGGTTAAAGAAAACCATTTATTTGCTACTGAATATTCTTCATACTTGTCTTAATCAGCTTTTTCAGTGCTGTGACTAAAGGATCTGACAAGAACAATTTAGAGGAGAAAAAATGTATTTGAAGGCCCCGGTTTCAGAGGTCTTACGCCATAGTAGGTCAGCTCCATTCGGGACTCAAGGAACATCCTGGTGGTAGAGGGTATCAGAGGAAAGCAACTCATATCATGGCCATCACAAAGCACAGAGAGAGTCCACTCACCAGATACAAATATATACCCCAAAGCCATGCCCCAATTCCCATCTCCTCCAGCCACACCCCACGACTTCAGTTAATCCCATTATGGATTAATTCACTGATTAGGCTAAGGCGATAACCCAATCATTTCTCCTCCAATCCTTCTTGTATTGTCTCACACATAAGCTTTTGGGGGCGCACCACATCTAAACCATAACAATATTATTCTATTATTTTGAATTCATAATCTGTTTTCAGATTCTAAAAGAAAATCTCTCCAACAGTACTGATTGAATTAAGATGGACTTTTATAAAATTTATGCAGGAAAAAAATAATAACATAGTCATAAATAGTGTAGAAACTACAATCATTAATTATTTGTCAGGCATTTTTTATACACTGCAGAGAAGGTCTATAGGAATTTTTCCTTCAAATTTACTTTGTGGGTTTATCACATCACCAGCATGATGAATTTTCCACAAATCCTTAATAAGTTAATCATGAATTAAAATAAGCCTTCTGTAAACCTTAACCTTCCTGAATTGGTCCTATTTAGAGTAAGGATGAAAAAAGGCAAAGCAGCAATTGAGGCTATTTCAATTTGTTACAATAATTGTATATCCACTAAATCTCCAAGCTCTCAAACTGCAACACTATGGAACCACAAAAGAGGTTTCTACTTTTTAATTTTAATCATTCTTCCAACTAACTTCCAAGATATATGAAAAACTAACTCTTTTCCCACTTGACTAATGTCTTTTATGATTTTTTTTAAAACAAAAATTTTAAAACTTTTTCTGTTTGTTTGCTTCTAGGCAAAACTGCATGCTCACTTAAAATAGTCTATAAATGGTTGTTTTTCCCTTATTGATGCAAATCTTAAAATAAAAATATCATAATCCAAAATGGTCCTCAAGTATCCAATGAGTGTTAGTAACTGAATGTAGAAATGCATACAATCCTGGGCCTAGATTCATGGAAGCTGACCATCTAGTTAAGAAGTTATAGAACAACAACAAAACTACTTATATGTAATATGCTTAGATATAATATAGTCTAGTATATAAATGTATTAGATGACAATTACTGTGTGCCACATCTGCCTAACCACTTTACTTATATTAGTTCATTTAATACTTAACCCTACAGGATGGTTGCAATTATTATTATGATGATTTTATATGTAAAGAAATAGAAGACAAAAAAATGGAGCATGGTAGAAATAAATTATGAACCCAGCCAGTCTATCATCTCCTGCATTTATCCTTTTATTTACTATACTTTACTGTCTCTTCTGTTGTATGATGTTCAATAATGGCACTATTAGCGTCAAGTTAATTGCACACAGAATGAGTACAATGGAAGTACAGAGAATAAGAAAAAAGTCACTATGGAATGAAGCAGTTGGGAAGGATTTCAAGTATAAAAGAGACATGGGGTCAGTGATAATCAAACAGA